ATATTTTAAATAACACAAAAAGTGGATATTAAGCAAGGTTTGAGTAATTCAAATTAAGGGAAGGCATCAAAAGATCAATGTTGGATCAAAAACTAAACAAGGCATTAACATGACGAAATGTCACCACTTAATTGCTCACAATATTATTAGTTCAATCTTAAGTCAGATTTGAATTTCTGAGAACTCTGTAGATGATTTTGAAAAAAATTGGTCAATTTAAAGCAAGTTTTTTGACCCTGAGAAGGTCATTGAGGGTAAAATCTCAAATCCAAAGTCAGATTTGAACTTCTGAGAACTTGTAGATGATTTTGATAAAAAATAGGTCAATTTGAAGCAAGTTGAAAAAAGACCTTTTTGACCTTGAGAAGGTCATTGAAGGTCATATCTTAAATCAAAAGTCAGATTTGAACTTCTGATAACTTTTAGGTGATTTTGAAAAAAAAATTTGGTCAATTTGAAGCAAGTTGAAAAAAGACCGTTTTGACCTTTTTAACCTTTTTTGACCTTGAAAAAGTCATTGAAGGTCAAATCTTAAATGTAAAGTCAGATTTGAACTTCTGAAAACTTGTAGATGATTTAGAAAAAAATTGAAGCCAGTCTAAACAGTATTTGTTAAGTTATTGGAAGTTGTGAGAATTTGTTACAGTTACAGACGCCAACTGCCAACCACCGATCACCAAGCGCCGCCAAACGATGACCATAATAATATGTCACCACTTCTTGGTGATGACATAATAAATCTAATAAGGGGAAGGGGGTTCAAAGCCATTTCAGTTTGCTATCCGTAAAATTGGAATGGTTTAAAAATAAAGATTTTATCTGATGTTTTCTTCATCAAGATCATTCCAATAGATACTGGTCTATCAATACTTGTCAAAAGCTACAAATTACGTTATGAATTAAAAAAACTAGATCATTTTTAGAAATAATTTTTCAAATCGGAAGTCTGTATTTGGGGGAGAACTAGAACTAGATTCATTCAGTTTCTGACATCAAACTTTAGTTCTTTCCCCTAAAAAACATCAGTTGGCATTGACCCAGTCATGCCATCGCACCCATGGAAAGCACATAAATGGCAATGCACTCAAACCAAAGTTGGCCAAACAAAATTCTGATTCTTCTTTAGGGTTTTGGGTTAGGGTTGAAATATCTTCAGTCATTTTCAGTTGACATATAAAAATCGTCACCCATCGCACTCATGAGTTGCTGATCATACATTGTCCATGTTTTGCATTCACTCTCATAATATTCTGCCAAAAGTGAATTCTGTACAAGAAAAAGCTTTCATCAGGTACATTTAAACCAATAGAAAAATGCAGCATGGTCATATTTCAAAACCTACAATTAATAGAGTAGAAATTAGAAAGCAACAAAGCAGTTACTGCAGACTTTCAAATATGTCAAGAAGTTATTAATAAGTGGTCTGGCCTATTTTAAAACTATGACCCTATAGTTGTATTAACATGACAGTGGAGTCTACTTATTCACATCTCTGTTCTGATATATAAGCACAACAAAGGATACATAGAGATGAGTAAGGGTAGCTCTCCAAGGAGTTTTTCTTCACAAAATCCCTTGTTGTTCCTGGTTACTAATTTTTTTCGAATCGAATACATTTGGTTAAACCATCGACTTCCATGAAAAATGATATCGCCCAGTTATCTATGAAACCATAATGCACTGTGATGATGTCTCATTTTTACCAATAATGGCACTGCTCAATTCATTATGAAACCATAATGCACTCTTAAATAATATGAAGTGCTCTAAGCTGATTGGCTGAGACACACTTGGCATATTTGAACTGCCATTAAATGGTGCTTCAGCGCTTTGTCTAAATTTTACATTGATCTCTATTTAATTTGGTGCTTCTTTTGCAAAGTGTAAAATGAAATTGCGGTTGAAATCTACGCCAATTGTATGCATAGTATCTCTGGCATTTACAATTAGCATCTTATTAACAATAAATATCTTCAAAATTAAGACAGCTGAATTTCCACATGGATATTCTATGGGATAATCTTACATATATCATCAAATTTGGCAAATTAATCAAAACACTTTCCAAATTAAACACAAATAGATCATTTATAATATTTTACGATAACACCAATGGATTCAAACCTGTAAAACAAATTGATATATTAGTTTAGTGTCTCATAAAACTGCATTCAATATATAATTTGGCGAACATTATGTTGTTCAAGTATCGATATACAGAATTTTCCAGAATCCCCTAATCCAATGTTACCAAAAGTTGTAATCGCCTTTAATATATGCAGCTACAGCGTAACTGGGCAGGCTCAACAGTTATTTTTGAATTTAAAATTACCAATTCCTTGCCTTAAATCCATTTTTTCATGTCAAATTTGAATTCTATGATACCTTGGAGTGTTTGAATTGAAAGCTCCCATATTTTTATAGATTTTAGATGAATAGAATTTTTCTAGATAAACATTTAGGCGTGACAGAAAATGTCACGCAAATACGCATTTTACCTGGTAATTGTCAAGCAAAAATATTTCTGTAGAAAAATTTATAAAAAAAGATCGTCTACACAGCAAAAATACGAACGCCGGAAAAAAATGTACGCATTTCGTTCGGACTTTTCACGCGAATTACGTATATGTCACGCATTCCGTTCGAAATTTCTTGTACCTACCCCCCCCCCCCCCGTTGATGGATGTTTGAAACGCGAGCGTAGTGTAGCGATGTAATAAGTATTTAAACCAAGGTGTTCAAAATTTGGATCAAGGTGTTCAGATTTGGACCAAGGTGTCCACATTTTGAGGAGAGGTGTTCAACATTTCCAAGTCACTCATGTTAGGTGTTCCCAAGTTGACAGGCCTGCAGCATTAAAGCAAAATTAGCATGTGGGTGCACCCAGGCTTGCACCCACTTGAAAATCCATTAGCACCCATTTGAAAATGAGAATAAATCATGAAAATAGGCATATTTTGACCAATTTTGATCTGAATCTTGAAAATGTAATTTTGCACCTTGAGAAATAATCCAGTGGAGAACACTGCATGTATTAGAATATTAGATACTACTAGAAGTTAATATTCTACAATAAGTAAGTCATCTTCAATAAACATACCTCTCCTTATGTTCTAACATACTAAGATGACCTAAATATTTGTGTTATATTCTTGAGATTTTCACATCTACATGACAATGTTTAGGGAATTTGATCAGCAATTTCAGTTCATCATAGATTATAACTCTTTATTAGAATCCTGTAGTAGCAAAAGCCCTAGAAAATTTCTTGTTTTGTTTGAAATGGACATTCAAATTGCCATATTTGGCTATTGAGGGCTGTTCCATCTGCCTTTGAAATGACCACTCAGTTATATAATACTCAGTGATTACCCCGTCTTGGTGCAGTAACTGAACAATAATGCTCTTCAAAACTTCAGTTATATACACTGTAGTCAGATATTTGCTCTTCCTTGCATATGGTACATGTACAGGGTGTCAAATGGCGTTGTGCCCCCCTTCCGCAGCATAAACTTAGAAAGGTACCTAGACACATTATGTATGTCATTGGAAAGAGCATTCAATTCTGGATAAAATAAACCCTAGATGACCTAGGTCAGATATTGCTCATAGTGTCACATGCATTTGAAATGTACTAGTGTAGTGCTCTATTTCATTGATTTTTGAGAAATGGCTGACTGTAAAGTGAAGTGCCTTATTTTATTTATTTAGACTAAAGCTAGTTCACAGTTGAAATAAAGATGACAAAACAACTTTTTGATGATGATAATCAGCAATATAGAGACAGAATAAGGTGTATTGCATATAGAGAATGAGGGTGCTAGTTTCATTACGAAGTATTAAAATCTCTTGAGAAAGACACAGCCCTTTTCCATTCCCTTTTAGCTTCAAATCCGGCTAGATTGGCAGCGGTTAAGGCTGCCCAAGGGGGTCATACTCACTTTTAAAAGTAAGTTGAAAATATATCTTATTTTCCATCATGCATCTTCATCTTTTCACATGTTAACAACAATTAAATGCTCTTTCCAATGGTATATGGTATGTGTGTGTATCTTTCCTAGTTTATGCCGTGGAAGGGGGGCACAACGCCATTTGACACCCTGTATATGGTATTCATTAGATGGTCGTTTTCAGATTTATTTTGAGGACCATATGGTCTCAGACCATGTTGTATAACTCTATAGTCTTGTTAAATGTGAATGAGATCAGAAATATGCAAATGTTTGTGTTTTGCTCTTACCCATTGGATTCTAATATTGAAGGTACTTTATATTATTTATATCACAGTTCTAAACTAATAGTCCTCAACTTACTTTTATGCAGGAAAAATAGAAAAATAGTATTTTTATTACTTATTTTTAAAAAAAAAAATTCCCTTTAAAATTTCCATCATCAAAAATATTTCTTAGCAGTTCCCCCTCTACCACCAGTATCAATGCACTTTCATTTACATGTACATGTAGTTCCTTTCTTTAATTTGCAAACTTACAGTATAATAAAGAACCCTGTCCCCAGTCCTAAGCATCCATGAGGCTACCTATGGTACCCAATTGCCAAATGTGGGCTAGAGAAGCAGAACTGCCACACATGAAAACAGATTATACAGGAATGGCATAAAGGTCAACCATGATATTCCAGTGACTCTACAGATGTAACAAATACATTACATAATGACACTGAGGTACCTGTCATATTCTAAGGCACTGCAAGATTTTTCATTCCATTTTGTATTTCAAGTTATTTCCTAACTCAGATATTTTGTGTGTCTTATGTGTCTTATTTAGAGGTCAATTACAGTTAATACATTGTAAAGAATATATTTATACAGGATTCTCATAGACCATAGGGCCTTGATGATTGAATTCAAAATTCCTTTTATAAAGTATAATTATTAACTTTTGTTATCTTTAATGTTCAAGTAAATCAAGTAACAACTACATTGCCTTATTTCGAAGGCTACCCCAATGTCATCCAAAAAGACCAAGAAAGAGTTTTCTCACCAGTATGGAGCACCCCATGTCTCCTTAAGTCAGGTTCATTATTGAAGACTTTAGCGCATATATCACATGCAATAGTATTATGGACATCTCTCTGGTGTTCAGCGGACTCCTTATGAGTTTCAAATGTCTTATCACATAGTTCACACACCAATGCTGGAAGAAACAGATTGCACATCTTCAGATAATAATACAAGTAGAGAACTATGAAAGGGTCATCTGACTCCACTATAGCCAATGATAACAGGGATATCTTGTGGGTAGGCCATCTTGTGGGTGAATTTTGCTGTGGGTGCAGGATGGCCCAAAATTGAGGAGACAGGTTTATACCTGGGATATTTGGGTGTACAGGTTTTAACTAATGTTCTGTGAATTTGTATTTTTCTTTTTTAAATTTGTGTTTTGGCGTTGGTGTATCTTTATATCTGATATGAATGAAATACACAAAAGGACAGCTTTTACTGTAAAACATGTTTTTAGTTGAAGATTCATTTTTGTACATAAAAAAACACACTCACGATTTACATTAGCCTCTTCTTCCTTTTTCTCCTTCTTTGAAGAAGATTTTTGACGTTTTCTAGGTGTAGCACTAGTGCCATCTATATAATTTGCATCATCATTCTCATCCTTAAACTCCACGTCTGGTTCATATTCATCAGTGTCCTCCTCATCATCATTATCCATTGTATCATCCATCCCATCATCAATGTCATCTGGAATCATAATCAAAATAGTGTCACAACTTCACGAAGATCAGTGTTTGTCAAAACTTCACAAATATTAGTGTTTGCATTAAAACACAAGGCATTTATATGCCAAATGTCACCACCTGCCATTTGTTACAGAGGCAGACCATCGAACACCATCCACAAAAAAAAGAATATAACAATATGTCACAACTTTTGGTGGTGACATAAAAAAGCAACTTCGGTAGCAGTAGAGGTTTACTTTTTGAAGACAATAAGCTCACATTGTATGTAAAATGGGTGAAGTAACTTCATTGATCACCCACATTTTTCAGTATTTTAGATTATGTGCTAGTATTGTTGTTTTCTATGCATTTAAATCAACTGGAAACTACTTACCTAATTCAGGTTCTACATATTCTGGAAGTGTTTTCTTTATTGTTCTCTTTGTGCCTGTTCTTTTCAGAGCTGGGGATTCCTCGTTTAAGTTTTTGGAAGCTGAGACAGAATTACCAGACCTACCACGACCACTTGGACGAGCTGGTTGGCTATCATATCCTAATTCGGTAACCTCTTGTTTGATATGAGTACCAGTGATTTTATCTACTGGGGGCTTATTTTGAAATAAGATATTGTCACAATCAGCAAGAAATTCTGGAACATTTAACTTAATTGCAAGTCTCATTACTTGTTGGATGTTGTCTCGTAAGATTGTCACTTGCTGCCCATATATGTAGTCCAGCATAATGTTCATAACATTAGGTTCGATCATTTCCTCATTGTCTATATCAGTAGATAGGATTTGTAGCTTATGCTGGTCAATGTCCACACATTTTGCAGCTATGACACTACTGTATTGGGCCACAATAGCTTTATGGGCATCAATCTGACTTCCATCGGGGAATACGAACTGAAGGTCTGTTAATTGCCCACAATTTCTCAATGAAGCAAGTTTTCGTATGGTGTTCTTGTTCTCCACAAGGTAGAGCTTGTCAGTCTTTTGAGCCATTTCTCACTGCAAGAATTCATACATGTATTAAAACAGAATGGGTTATGACATTAATGAAATATTTCATTCGAAGTATGACATGTGATATTGATATCTGCAGGAGAGAGCGAAGCAAACGAGTGCAACAAGCAGAGTATATTGTCACAATATCCTCCGCATATTGGTTTTCAAGGGTACAGTATATCATGGCGATCCTTTTGATTTTTAGACATAGGTAGTCACTTAGTCAGCGTGTTTGTTTATGATTAGGAGAATTACTGAAATTGGCTAGAGACTCGAGTAAGACCAACTAAAAGATTGAAGTGCATAATATTGCAATTTGAGACAGCAGCTACATTTTTGCTTTTGTGATGTTTCTTGTGATGTTAAGAATCGATAGAAGTAAGAAATATATGCAACATATTCTAGCTGGGCCTCTAGCGCAGTTAATTTTCATGTTTAGAAATACAATGTAGTGGTCTATTATATGCATGTAAGACAAGAACTGAAGAGATCGTCTTGGTACAAGGATATATATAGTAGATCAACTTATTATCAAAATCACATCATACATGTACGATAAACAGCATATGACTTGTCACATATGAGGATTTGATAGTCACTTTACCATGGGCTTTCAACTTCAAGACGTGCTTTGACATCTTGTTATATAAGCTAATTTAGGCTGGGCTCAGTAACTTACTGGAATTCAAGTGAATGGTCCAGAAACCAAGACTACGAAAAACCACACTACGATGTGTTGCCCAGGGAGCACCCGTGGTATGCAGTTATGATTTGGGGCAAGGCCAGATCATTATACCATCTCCTATAATTTGGAGTTGCCCCAAATCATAACTGCATACTGACCGTGGTTATATAGATATAACAACCATTTCCGGGTTGCCATGATTTTCTAATTTTGATCGAACATATTTTTACAAGTGTTATTTTTAGAGGATATAAACGGCATAATTAGAGTGGATAATACTTACTTTGTATTTTCTTCGTGATCCGTATGAACCTATCGTACTTTATGACAATGATTTATGCTCCTTGACATTTTATTTAACTGTAATTGTACTGAATATTGAGATTTACAAATTACATTCCACAAAGGAAATCAGTCTAAGCATTTCGTTCAGTGCAAAAAGAGGTTATTTGCACTGGACGGAACTAATAATATACCCGGGGACAAATAGAAATAGTGCATATTGTATAAAATCATGAGCTGAAGGCCATTGATAAAAGTAAACTTACCTGCACATTAACTTCTATTTAATGTTTTCCATCATGGAGTCTTTTTAGCGACCGAAAATTAGCCAGCTATAATACAGAATGTTGTTGACCCTTTGACACTCTTTGAAACTTTGAGAATGGATTACGTTTGGATTGCATTATTTTAGACGATTTTTGATGTCAAAACTATTGGAAATCTTTTTTTTAGTTTTTATCTGAACATCTATTGTAGTATGACTTCAGTTTTCTGGTTTTAAATTGTGTACTGCTTTACTTGTTGAATGGTGAAAAGGGGAGGGGGTGATGGGTTGTTTTTTGTGTGTTAGATCTTAGCTTGGGATATTATGGGTTTGTTTTCCTTATGACTGATTGTGGTCTTAGATGTTTCTTGCTCTTTCTGTTTTGTCATACTTATTGGGCTTCTCTCTTTTGGTAAAACAATATCATAATATACTGGCACGTAGGCTTGCAAGAGTATTATATTGTATAGTTTGGTCAGGAGAAAAAGTATAATCAACATGAAATAAGGAAATCAAATAACTTCAAAAACAACAGAAAATTATGTTTATACATATTCTATAAATGTGAAGAAATCAAGAGGTATTGTGGAAATTCAAACTTTTATTCTATGTGCTTTATATAACTATTAATCAGAGCTGAGACTACATACATGGGGTACTATGATGATACTTGATATAGAACAAGAAATATAACTAATGGATATTAAGAAATCAAATATGTGCAAATACTAAATAAGTGTATTCATGACAAGCCCAAAGTACGAACAATTTATGGTCAAGCTACGTTTCCTTTTACTGCTATTTGGAATGAATTATTTGTTGAAATAAAATTATCTGGAAGTATCGTTATTATGTTATGGATATACTACAAGTACTGGGTTTTATGAGAAGAGAGTGGGTGTAATTAGTTCATCTTCAGCGCACTGCAAGGACCAGGCCAGGTACAGTTTAAGATTTGATTCTTTTGTGTTATTCAACTATTGAATGAGTGAATATGGTGTAATTAGTTCAGCTTCAGTGCACCGCATGTAACTGGCCAGGCACAGTTTAAGATTTGATTCTATTGAATGAGTAAATATGGTGTAATTAGTTCATCTTCAGTGCACCGCATGTAACTGGCCAGGCACAGTTTAAGATTTGATTCTATTGAATGAGTAAATATGGTGTAATTAGTTCATCTTCAGTGCACCGCATGTAACTGGCCAGGTACAGTTTAAGATTTGATTCTTTTGTGTTTAGTATTCAACTATTGAATGAGTGAATATGGTGTAATTAGTTCATCTTCAGTGCACCACATGTAACTGGCCAGGAACAGTTTAAGATTTGATTCTTTTGTGTTTAGTATTCAACTATTGAATGAGTGAATATGGTGTAATTAGTTCATCTTCAGTGCACTGCATGTAACAGGCCAGGTCCAGTTTAAGATTTGATTCTTTTGTGTTTAGTATTCAACTATTGAATGAGTGGATATGGTGTAATTAATTCATCTTCAGTGCACTGCATGTAACAGGCCAGGTCCAGTTTAAGATTTGATTCTTTTGTGTTTAGTATTCAACTATTGAATGAGTGAATATGGTGTAATTAGTTCATCTTCAGTGCACTGCATGTAACAGGCCAGGCACAGTTTAAGATTTGATTCTATTGAATGAGTAAATATGGTGTAATTAGTTCATCTTCAGTGCACTGCATGTAACTGGCCAGGCACAGTTTAAGATTTGATTCTATTGAATGAGTAAATATGGTGTAATTAGTTCATCTTCAGTGCACCGCATGTAACTGGCCAGGTACAGTTTAAGATTTGATTCTTTTGTGTTTAGTATTCAACTATTGAATGAGTGAATATGGTGTAATTAGTTCATCTTCAGTGCACCACATGTAACTGGCCAGGAACAGTTTAAGATTTGATTCTTTTGTGTTTAGTATTCAACTATTGAATGAGTGAATATGGTGTAATTAGTTCATCTTCAGTGCACTGCATGTAACAGGCCAGGTCCAGTTTAAGATTTGATTCTTTTGTGTTTAGTATTCAACTATTGAATGAGTGGATATGGTGTAATTAATTCATCTTCAGTGCACTGCATGTAACAGGCCAGGTACAGTTTAAGATTTGATTCTTTTGTGTTTAGTATTCAACTATTGAATGAGTGAATATGGTGTAATTAATTCATCTTCAGTGCACTGCGTGTAACAGGCCAGGTACAGTTTAAGATTTGATTCGCTGTAAATATATATTATATGCTGTCAAATATATATTATATGACATCATATATTATAATTGACGGGAATGACGTCATACTATATTATCGTCCAGTGTATAATGAAATAGCGCACCTAGCGGATGGCACGTAGTTTAAAATTCTCGCCCTCTGTCTTTTGTGCAACACTAATTTTGGATAGCTTACCATGTGTACATTCTTTAAAGACAATAGAAAAAATGCAATCTTGTTTGTAACTGTTTATTATTAACGGATGGCTTCTCTATATCCCTACAAACTTCGTTTGGTGGGATAATAAGATAAGAATATGATAAGCTGATGATAACACAAAATTTGAGCAATGTATCACTTTTATTGTACTTTTATAAGAAGCATTTACATAAAACATACTGTATTATCAAAACAAACAGCACCATTGATTTTAATAAGCTCATAAAATATACATAAAATAATAAAAACAATAATATACCCTGGTATATTAGATTTTAGCAAAATTAATATTCACAATATTGAAATAATCTTGTCTTAATGCAAACTATGTCAAAATTTGGGTCAAGTAATTTCTATGTCAAAAGTCCATGACTGACTAGGGTTGTTTATTGTACTGCATATGTTGACTATTAGTCCTTTGTCCATATCTGAACTATCCAAACATAATTCTGTTGGCTTGTGCACCAGAAACTTATCTTTTCTAAGCCATATCTAAAAAATAAAAAACATCATTAAATTATCGTTTCCTCCTGATCAAAGTATTAACTTATTGAACAAATCAGAGCTATATATAATTTGAAATACAGTAAAACCTGTGTAAGTGGAACACAATAGTACAATAGTAAAAAAAGGTGTGGAACATCATGGAACTTCTAAGTGGAAAGGTATCCACTTACAATGGTGTACCAATGTAGCGTTTACAGAGGTGTTCATTTCACTTATAGAGGTGTTCCACTTACAAAGGTATTTCTTTTACAGAGACGTTGCACTAACAAAGGTCTTTTACAGAGTTGGTCCACTTACAAAGGTGTTTCCCTTGAAGTTCCATATACAAAGGTGTTTCACTGACATAGGTGTAAAACTAATGAAAGTAACTTAAATTATAGTCCATACCATACCTGATTATTATTGGTGGTATCTGTTTGGCATTGTTGAAGCACCACATTGTCTGCAGTTTCTATGTGTGCGACAGCAAGACACATGTTATCATTATTGTTCATAGAGATCTTGCCATCTTTATGCATAAGCCAATCCTGAAATCAAGCATTTTGAATTTTGAATCTGAAGCCTTCTGTTTTCCAGATACTTGGAGGTCATGTGTGTACATATATTCTCTATGACACCAATCTGATCAATCAAAAATTAAGTCACAACTTGGCATAAGAGCAAAATATTTATTGTGAGAAAGGAAATGTTGTAGTGATCATTGTATAAAAAGGTTGTCATTCAGTCAGTTGTTGTTGTCAGTTGGTTAATTTCCTTCATTCATTGAAACCTATCCTTGATGCCTCTTTTCCCTAGGGAAGATATCATATCATCCCCGGGATAAACCAGATAAAAAATTTTCTCTAGGTACAACCATCTTAAAAGGTGATCACTTCTTTAAAACAGATAGTCCATACTAACTGGACCAAGAGCCTCTAATTAAAAAGTTGCGTATTCATTGATAAAGGTTTGCATTACAAATGGGTTGCCGTACTGAATATTATGTCACAATGTGTTCTTTAATTTGCTAGAAAAATGATTTTTAAGGCCACAATACCTGAGTAGTTGAGAGTGTATTGCATGGTTTCAGCAGTGGAATAGTTGGGGGCACTTTGGCATATGAGTCCAGACAGGAGTCTGCATTCTTCAAATGCCCATAGCCTGTGGCACCATCTGATGGAAATCTGAAAGGCATATCAGTCTATAGTCTAAAGGATTTGATGCATAGTCTACATTATGTTACAGTCTAATAAATTGATGGGGCTTTTAAGTCTGGATAAAAATTGGATACTCTCAAAAACACTGTGTAGGTTTTGAAACACTTAATAAATAATCAAATGCCTAAAAATGACTTAACAAGAAATTGAACTTTATATTATAGAGTGTTTGTGACATATTTATGTATCATGATCAGACTTTTTATTTTTACTTTAATGACAGATTTTTCATTAAATGACTAACTAAATGACAGGTTTTTCATTTTTGTACAACAGATAGTTCATTCAATCATTGTTTGACTTTCTTCTGTTTTTAAAATCCTTTAAGGTGCATGATAAATTTTGAAAACACAGTCCAACACAATAATATGCTGTTTTTGGATGCTTGTAAGTATGTTTTATTAAAAAAGAAAAAAATGGCAACTTACTTCAGTTCTGGATAAACTGTCTCTAGGTACCATTTGAAAGACTTGCATTTTAATCTCTCACGGAGATCTTTCCTGCTATGTACACTGAAATGGGAAAAAAGGATTAAGTGATTTAGTAATCATTTCAGTTCTCTAAATTAATATCATTTGCCCCATTACAAAATGCTTATCGCGCGCCATTAATCATGCTTTAATTAATTGAATTTGGATATCATCCACTCAACAGCCTCACTGTTTTTTGAAATGCATGCCATTCAATTGTTTCTCTAATGCATTAAATTGCTATGATATTGGAGTATAATGTACATATGGGCACATCTGCATGAATAATTTATTTCATAGCTGGTATTTTTTATATCATGATAAACAATGATATAGAGATGTGATGAGTACTGTACTTCTACTTAATTTGGCAGCTGTATTAATTTGGCAGATCCGCCAAATTGTTAAAGTCTGCCAAATTAAGTAGCCGCCAAATTTAATATTTCATATTTCAATAGTAAATAAGTATTGTACATGTATATACATTTCATCATTGCAAGTCTGCTAAATTAAGTAGTCAATCTTCAAAACAGCAAATCCATCAAAATAAGTAGCGCCAAATTAAGTAGAAGTACAGTATCAGAGTGTATGTTTTTTATACTTACTTGCCATAAGGTTTGTGTTTTGCTGATGCCCTGTACTCATAGAAAAACCTCTTATACTCATCCATCCATACTTCTGCTATTCTTCTGGTATTTCTTAAATCAGAAATGTAAAGTACAGTATTTATAAAATATCTGTTAGTACATTCAGAGTAAACACTCAACTTCAGTCTTATGGTGTTTTTCCAAGATTTCAAAACAGTCAGGATGAAAATTGCTCATACAGTAAAACTTAAATCTGAACACCTCTGGGACCAGCCAAAAGTGTTCATATTAGCCAAAAGTGTTTAGATTAGCCAAAAGTGTTAAGATTAGCCAAAAGTGTTCAGATTAGCCAAAAGTGTTCAGATTAGCCAAAAGTGTTCATATTTCAAGGTTTTGTAAACATGTGCGTCAATGAGAGATAACAGATTTGGGACTGAGAAAAAGTGTTCACAGTGAAAGGTGTTCAGTTAATTAGAGAGGTGGTCTTCATAATGCTGATGACTTTAAGACCACACACACAAACATCTGATGCAGGGCAAAACTATTTAAGCAAAAGCTTTCTATACAGTTATAGTATTTGTGTCAATAAAATATGTCTTTCTAGAGTTGACATTGATGGACAATCATTGATAGACTGTGATGATTGACTTCCTAAATATTCTGCATATCAAAAATGTATAGTAATTGTAGCAGTTATTGCATTGAAGAAAATAATTCCCTCCTGCCCCTCAAAAATATATTTGAACATAGATTGAAGTTGTTTACTTTAAAATATCTACTGGGTCTGGTATGTATGCTAACAAAAATTGAATGGCCTTTTGCCTCCTCAGTAAAGTGACCTTGTCCATAAGAGGTACTTAAAGAATAAAATCAATTTGGACATCCAAAGGTGTAACAGAAAAAACCTGCTGATGTTTCAGAGAGGCAATCTCTGCCAAGTGAACACCTTTGTAAGTGACCTTCATAAATGGAAGACTTTTCAGAGACTTGTGATCAATTATCTTAATGTAAAATGAACCTCTGTAAGTGGAACATCTTTGTAAGAGACCTCCATAGGTGGAAGACTTTTCAAGGACCCATGATCCATTATCATAATGTTAATGAACCTCTCTGTAAGTGGAATGGAACATCTACATAAGTTGAACACTTCAAAGTCTTATGAACCATTATCTTACTGTAAAATGAAATTTTTTTAGTGGAACACCTTCATGAGTTATATTTTAAAGTCCTGTAACACAGTAACTTATCATAATGTAAAGTGAACCTCAGTAAGCTGAACACCTCCATAAATGGAACACTTTTCAAAGTCCAGTTTACCATTAACTCAATGTTAAATTTTTTAAATTTATTTTTATTAAGTTATTCATTTGTACAAAGAATACAATACAATAATACAGTGTAAGTAGCTGTGCTTTTAGCATTATTAGTCACGTTCCACAATGTTAAATGAACCTCTGTAAGTGGAACATTTCATATATGTGAAACATTTTTTTAGGTTTCAAAGGTATTATTCCACTTACAGTTTTCCTGAAATCAATGTACTTGTAGTCACACTTACTTTATATAAGTATTTGCATTGCCTTCGGGGAATGTATATGGATGACGTTTTCTGAATACATGGCCGACTCTTGAGCATGGCAATATCTCCAATCTGCCCCCACACATCCAAGTACGGAATGAAAGCTCTGAAACATATCAACAAATAGACTAATCTTATACCAACTCTCTTTTCCATATTATACCTTCATTTACCTATTGTGAAAGTGATATGTGTAGTAAATATTATCACCTAATATCAGAACTACTATTGTTCTTTACTTCATATTATCAAACTAGACAACAGCAACGCCAAAGCGTAGATGTACAGACGCATGGACGGGGGCGTTCCCTATATCTCTCCGAACTTTGTTTGATGGGATAATAAATTTAATTTCAAACTAAATCCTTAGTGAGATTCAATACATTCTCATTTGAAAAATAATTTATCTTTATTTCTCGGATAGTAGACACCCTAAATATTTTAGATTATATATTATGTCTTCACCAGAAATCACTCACCAAAATTTTCTCCTCCCCAGATGTCCATTTCAGTATCATATTTGCCTAGCTTATTGAACCAGACTTTATGGACAGCAAAGAGGCCCCCGGCTATCATAGGAGTCCTGAAATTGAGGAGTGACACCAAAATTATAAGGAGAATACAACAATATTATTAGGAGAATACAGGAATATTATCAGAATACAGGAGTATTATCAGGAGAGTACAGCAATATTATCAGAAGAGTACAGTGATTCTCTCAAGTTCTGAATCAAGTTGGTGCTGCTCCCCCTTGGCATCTTGAAAATGGGATTGCACTCAGTTAAAATTCCATTTTGGAAAAGCCATGCCAATTTGGCGTATTTCAATAGACTAGATGCGAGTAGAAATAATCTTGATTTACGTCATTAAATGTTCAAAATTCAGTCAAAGTGATGTCATATTTTAAATCTGCATGTAAAAGTACATCTAGAAATATGGTTTCAAAAATTGTCTATCAACTTTGAAATTTTAAATTTTTTGAAAATGTGACTTCTTGTTCGGGTTGATTCCCCATACACCCCATGTTACAAAACCACAAAAAGTGAATTATCTTTTCTTGTATTGGACAGATAACATTTTCTTTTACTGGACGTACTTCAATTTACACAACTATTAGATACACAAGGGTTATGTGAAAATTGAACCACGCAAATAGATGTAATTTAAGTTAAAGGGAACTTTCTACTATACCCGCCATGCTTTCTGACCCGAACGAGCCACCTGGTGGTGAATCTGGTAACTACCTACTCGCATCTGCGTTATTACTTTTGGTTAAAAATTGTGGAAGTAACAAAAGACTAGTCTCACTTTGGGGAACAAAGTTCATTAGTTATTTTTATAGGGTATGTAAATGATATCTCTCACTGGTTGCTCCATAGTTTAGCATTCTGTTACCATGGTATTGCATCTTTAGACATCTCACATGTATCTTTAAATCTTAATCATTTTTTGTAGCTGTGCTTTTATAGCATACAACTATAGTTTAAAATTCATAAACTAGAGCTGAATTAATACCAAATTTTCTTTGCATAGTTTTATGATTTGAATAGTATTGACAAAATTATTCACCTTGTGAGGCAGCTACATACTACAGTGGATGTTGTTGGTAACATTATTTGACTATTATTGATAGACTTTTAACTGACAATCTATTTTATAAGTTACATTGCTTTTGAATTTGCTCTCATAGAATTAAGGCAGAGTTGATTATGTGCAATTCCCAATTGATAAACAAAAATGACAATAAATATTATCGAATGCTCAAAATTTCACTCTATACAATTATCCAAGTACATGTACAAGGTAATATTTACATGCCAGTTTTTGCCAAAGATTCAAGGGGGACAAATTTGTCCCAAAATCACATGAGAAATGCTCACTATCGTGAAAAACTTCATGATTTTGAAAGAATTTTTGGTCAGTGTCATTCAATGAAAGTAAAATCTGATTTTAAACAATCTCAGAAGCTGGTTTTATTAATATTACACATGCAGTATCTTAAATTAGGTATCTTTTAATCTTTAATTGTTTTAACAATGTTCTACATATTAAATGTGTATATCATACTACAATAATCGAGACACCCTGCTTATGAACTTATCCTACTTATCACAAAGAATTATTTCAATCAACGAAATGTGATATATTATCCTTTTTAAGGGGACTCACTTCTAAAATAACATTTCTAAAATACATTTTTAACATATAATTGTATATTACTATAAATGTATGTAATAATTTCAAATCTAGTCATCATAATAAACAGTCAATAATAATATACATTTGAATTACATCGCCAATGTTGTTATCCATACAAACTACATGTAGGATAAAAATATCAATAATATAAGTTATTCAATGATTCGAGTAAAATACAGTAAATATTCTTCCTGAGAAGGTCTGTATTTCCAGTGCGCTAGCAGAGTGAAATACAGACTTTCAAGTATTTCTGTTTTTATGAATGTAGTATAACAATATCTTGATAAAAAAAATATGTAAATGTTTTGTTTACAAATGGTGTTAACTTCAATACCTTTGTGTTCAACTACTTTTCCAATTTTTGATCCAGGGCCATTTTTTGATTTTCTCTAATTGATGGAGATCTCACAATATTTTACCAAAATCAACAAAATTGTTTAAGAATTAGTAAGTGTGGACTATTTCTTGTGTTGACGTTACATCATTTTAAATCTTTGCCCTTACCCTTCATGGCAAATCTACTGTAATATTAAAACTTATTTAGGGGAATCACTTTTCTTAATTAACGGACACTTCTAAAATGTTTGTTAAATAAATTACTGTACATGATCGAAAAGAATAATTTTAGTGTCAATTAATAACAAACAACAGAGAATATTATAGTTTACGGTATATTGTACATCGAAGTAAAGTTGCAGCCCTACTCTTAGTAATGTTTTACACCAATTCCACTTCATTTAACTCCTTGTCTTTTTGGTTTACACCAATTCCACTTCATTTAACTCCATCTCTCTAATGTTTTACACCAATCCAACTTCATTTAACTCCTTGTCTTTTTGGTTTACACCAATTCCACTTCATTTAACTCCATCTCTCTAATGTTTTACACCAATTCCACTTCATTTAACTCCATCTCTCTAATGTTTTACACCAATCCCACTTCATTTCACTCCTTGTCTTTTTGGTTTACACCAATTCCACTTCATTTAACTCCATCTCTCTAATGTTTTACACCAATTCCACTTCATTTAACTCCATCTCTCTAATGTTTTACACCAATTCCACTTCATTTAACTCCATCTCTCTAATGTGTTACGCCAATTCTTCTTCATTTAACTCCATCTCTCTTAGTAATGTTTTACACCAATTCCACTTCATTTAACTCCATCTCTCTTAGTAATGTTTTACACCAATTCCACTTCATTTAACTCCATCTCTCTAATGTTTTACACCAATCCCACTTCATTTAACTCCTTGTCTTTTTTGGTTTACACCAATTCCACTTCATTTAACTCCATCTCTCTAATGTTTTACACCAATCCCACTTCATTTAACTCCTTGTCTTTTTGGTTTACACCAATTCCACTTCATTTAACTCCATCTCTCTAATGTTTTACACCAATTCCACTTCATTTAACTCCATCTCTCTAATGTTTTACACCAATCCCACTTCATTTCACTCCTTGTCTTTTTGGTTTACACCAATTCCACTTCATTTAACTCCATCTCTCTAATGTTTTACACCAATTCCACTTCATTTAACTCCATCTCTCTAATGTTTTACACCAATTCCACTTCATTTAACTCCATCTCTCTAATGTGTTACGCCAATTCTTCTTCATTTAACTCCATCTCTCTTAGTAATGTTTTACACCAATTCCACTTCATTTAACTCCATCTCTCTTAGTAATGTTTTACACCAATTCCACTTCATTTAACTCCATCTCTCTAATGTTTTACACCAATCCCACTTCATTTAACTCCTTGTCTTTTTGGTTTACACCAATTCCACTTCATTTAACTCCATCTCTCTAATGTTTTACACCAATTCCACTTCATTTAACTCCATCTCTCTAATGTTTTACACCAATTCCACTTCATTTAACTCCATCTCTCAAATGTGTTACACCAATCCCACTTCATTTAACTCCTTGTCTTTTTGGTTTACACCAATTCCACTTCATTTAACTCAATGTCTCTAATGTTTTAAACCAATTCCGCTTCATTCAACTCCTTGACTCTAATGTTTTACACCATTTCTTCTTCCTTTAACTCCATGTCTCTAATGTTTTACACCAATTCCGCTTCATTCAAATCCATGTCTCTATGCTTTATATTTCCTCTTTGATTCACCATTTTCCCAAAGTTGCGAATTACAATTGCAACTAATTGGAAAAGTTCCAATATACTGAGTACAGACATACCAACACATATACCAATTATGCCACCAATCTCAGACACCAAATTCTGAACTGTATATGCTGCTACTTGGGTCGTGGTCTGAAGAGTCAAGGACCTATGATACACATTCAACTTTAGAAAGTTGTTCTCGACCATGTTGTACAAATCAGCAGAGGCATCGTTCTCTTCATATGCTTTGTAAATGGCTGTGCCATTTAACAAAGTAGGAAAATTATTCGAATACTTTTCGATGAATCTGCGAACTGCATTCTGAGGTGGCCAGTTTGCCTGTGAAATTAGAGAATCATATGTTTTGTAACTACAAGACAGGGGACAGTCACATTTATACTGGCCAACATAGGAATCTGGTAGATCCTCAAGATGCTTACTTTCACAATCCAAATGTTTCAATTCCTCAAGGAAAACTTGTGTCCAGTTTTGATTTTGAAGCATATTATCTTTGTCAATATAAAAACAGTATTTCTCATTTTCCAAATCATTTGGGACTGGGAGCATTATGTTAAGACATCCACATTTTCCTTGAATGTATCTCTGCTGGCAGATCTTCATACATGTTTCCCTGTTGTATACAATATCAGTGTTTTCATTGGCAATGTCAGTTATCTTCACTCTCGACTTGTCACATTCTCCCCAGGGAGACTCCATCTTCTCAAATACGGACTGCTTAAGGGCAATATTTGTAGAGTAACCAGGGGCAACAATAAATCCATCATTTATCATGTCTGGAATTGTATTTGGCTCATGTATTGCCACTTTAATTCCAGAATCAGTAAACCTCTTCGAGGCACCTATAAAAGTCATCTTAAGAAGTTCCCTTTCTTGTAGCACATCTAAGAAAATTACCAAGGAAAGACCTGAAATTGGTCCTCCTTTCTTAACTGTGTCAGAATGATTAAATGTAAGACAATTGAAATTTTGACCATTCTTTCTTTCCACAAAGTGTGTTTTATTACAATCATGTTCTTTGAACTGACATGACACAATGAAACGATCATAATCAGATGCCAGATATTCTGTAAATGCAGGAAATGATTGAGGAATACTTTGCCGATCCAGTAACCTCGGTGCATATTTAGCATAAAGTACTAGTTGTAGGTATGATAGTTCTTCAATTTTAAAATCACCATCTAGATTAAATACTTTTTTAACTACCTCTACTTCTTGTTTAATAAGTTTGTTGTC